TAATGAAGGGCAGGGCATTTACTACCAGACGACTTTCATATGCCACGCGTCTGTAAAAGTTGGCACGTTCTGTAACCTTCAGAAGATGAAACTTAAAATAAACATTTTACAGCAAATTTAAGTGTCACTTTAGGGAGGGGTGTGAAACGGCAGAGCGAGTGGTAAGTGTGCATCAAACTACCGAGTTTTTGATTTGTTACAGTTATTGATTTGACGAACGTATATCCATTTTGATAAACACAAAAATTCAAAAGTCGTTTCGTGCGTGGGCAGTCGTAGATTTCCATAGCAATTCGAAACGGTTTGTTACAATTAAACAGTGTAAAAACTACATCGTATATTGATCCCAGTACCCCGAACAATCGCGACCACTCGCACAGGTGAACGAAGTAGAAAAAACAGTGAAATTGATCGCAACGTTAAGTTAAGGTTTAGTTTAACTGTTGCAAAAAACTTCGTAATTTGCTTGTTGTACCCCGACGACACAGTAGTTTTGAGATCTCTAAAATCTACCGTAGACTGTGCTGTGTATGAGAATCACATCCTTTCTGTATGCCACTATTTCACTTCCCACGAACTGCCGCCCAACACACTCGAAACATGTGAATGGCATTGCGTCATGCGCGGTACTAAAAGCCAGGTACCAATAGACCTCTATTCGCACGTCCTTACCTTTCACAACAGTGCTATACCATAAGCGTAGCATCTACCGACAGCAACGACTCGTTTCTACCGGGCAGTATTTTATGCAAAGAGGCTGAGAAATCTGAACGTACCGCAAGAAGCATCTAACGTGTTTGGCTGCCTGTGCATTCTACCCCTGTACACATAATTCAGCGCTGTGATTTTTCAAGGGCTGTCGGCTCATGACTATAAGACGATTCGTCGGTCTCTAAAACTTGTTTCAAGATTAAGCGGCCTGCCTCAAAACGACCTCCCGTTGCGTGTAGTAGCGTCAGCGTTTGAGCATGCAGTTCGCATGGGAAACAACATACTCGACAACGCATTACATCCACTGCACAGCAGCCCTTCAAGGTGCTTGTCCAACAGTACGTTCACTCGCTCACATGTTATTAACATCTCGGCGAGGACCGAGTTATCTCGCAGGCCGTTCGTTCCGTCCTCAGTGACATTC